CCAAAGAGATATTCTTTATAAAAGTTAAGACTGGTCCACGCCCTCCTAAAACGCCTCGTTTAAACACGCCCCCACATGTCTACGTCACGATGTGGGAAGATTTGCATAACCCCGCCCAAATGTTCATGCAAAGAAAGAAGGCATAACTTTATTGTTGCTGCCGCCATGTTGTGAAGACGCTGTGTGTTTCGTTGCAAAAGCGAAAATACTTTGTTTGTCCTTCCAAAAGAGGACATGACTAGAAATCAGTGGTTAAGTTGTATTTACAACACTGTTCCAGAACAGTTCCACCCAAATATTCAGATGTGTCCAGTGCATTTCATGGAGGACTGTTTCCTGATATTGGGAGAGTAGACTAACTTTACAATGTTAGTGCACGGTTACGGAGAACCAGAGTAGGGGGCGCCATCTTAGTCCCATGCCCGCCAGAGTGAGGCCGCGTGGGACCCGCGTCGCTCGAAAAAGCCCCTGGAGCTCAGCTTTCACGGTCGCTGTACTGACTCACAGTTTGTAAGTACGTTTTCATATTTAAAGAATTTGCCACCGATGATTCAAACGCGAGTTTTGAGCAGTGTAGAGTAGCGCTTGTTTTTTGTCATTTCTCCGATCACAAATGCAGACATGGTTTTATGTTTACGCGGCGCGATGCATCGCAATGCATAAAAAGACAGTATAAGTCATTATAATCCGTAATTATGTCCCCACTGGATGCAATAAATGCCTCGTTTATAATGGGTTTTATTGGTTTTGTCTCGTCGCTCCGGGACACGGCATCACAATATGGTAAGGGGTGTAACATTTCTGTCACACGCTTGAGGTATTTGGCCAATCACAACGTACTAGATAGCTGGCTAATCAGAGCACACCTCGCTTTTCAGACCGATGAGCTTTGTAAAAATCGACTCGTTTCAGATGTCCTATATTTTATACTGTACATTACAATATTGTGATGTCTAAAAATTCACTTAATCATCACAACATTGACAAGAATGACTGGTTTTAGTTTTGAAGTACAGAGTTTTATTAAAACAGTGGATTAGAAAATACTAGACTACAGATTTTCCATAACAGACAATTTTATTATAGGT